AGTGAAATAAATCAGACATACACTTAAATATTGCCTGGTCTCTCTCATATGGGAAACCCAAAATATAAGAGCAACATAAGAGATAGATAATTGGAAGTAGGGAGATAGGTTTTTCTCAGAGAGGAAGAAGATCAAGAGATGGAGGGAAGGTAGGGAAAGGGAATGAAAAAAGGTATGTGTTATGTACATGTAAACATTATGTACTGTAAACACATACTAATAAAAATGAAAGAAGAAAAAGTCATAGCAACAAGAGTAACTATGGAAAATAAGTGATTATAAACAAAGAAAGTTGAGGGGTGGGAGATGTGGCTCAGTGGTAGAGCTCTTGCCTTGCATGCACAAGGCCCTGGGAGAGAGGAGAAGGAAGGAGGAAGGGGGAGGGAGGGAGGAAGGGAAGGGGAGGGAGCAAAGGAGGGAGGGAGCAAAGGAGGAAAGGAAGAAGGAGGGAGGGAGGAAGGGAAAGAGGAGGGAAGAAGGAAGGGAAGGAGGGAAGAAGGAAGGGAAGGAGGGAGGGAGAGAGAGAGGGAGAGGAGGGAGGGAAGGATCATTTTGCATTTGCAGCTACCTCTGTGCTCAGCCTTGCCTACAGCGAACACTCGAGAAAAGCTGCCAACAGACCAACTATTTTAGGTTTTAGTATTTCAGCCATAAATGATGCTTTAAAATATATATATATAAAAGCTTTCCTATATCACTGAAAGAATTCCTGTCCCTTACTGAGTAATATGGATAGATTTCTGCCATCAGTTCACACCCTAAAGCACAAGACACGACGATCTTTCTTTTCATTTGCATAGCTACGATTCATCATTATCCAGCCCTATTTTTTACTCAACAAAATAGCATTGCACCATTAAGATTTCAGCATGTCTATTCTTGCAATGACTATTTTGAATTGTGCCTTTTAGAAGCAACTACTTTAAGGGAAAAAAATCATCACTAGCTAAAGTATCTACTTGTCTTGGTATTAGGATCCCAACTTTTCTGAGCTCATTTTCCTGTTGCTTTTTTGTGTCAGAAATGACTGCAGCCAGGCACTTAGTGGAGCCCTTGACCTACTAACCCCTGCGCTTAATCCCCCCATAAATGGACTACAGACAGTACGTTCATCGTCAGTGCTACAATTTATTCATCTTACCTACGCCAGTCACACCACTAAATGGTATGTTATTGCCAGCACTGTGTTTGCTACCAAAAAGATTCTAGAATGTATTTTCTTCTCGTTGTCCACGAGAAAAAACTCAATATAATATTATACTGAATTATTAAGGTTAATTTTAGAAATATTGCTTAATTTTCAATCTAAAAAGTGAAGGACTGCCCTTTTAGGAAATTTGATGTTTAATTTCATAGTGTACTTACAGTCTCATGCTAGAAAATCGAAAAGGACAACCCGTGGGAGCGTCTTCTCTGTCCCTGTTCCTCTTCTCTGCGGAGAAGAATGAATTCATCTGTTATGCAGCTTAAGGAAGCCGGGGAGGAAGACAGATTATTTTACTTGCTGGCAGAGCAACCACGCTTGACTCCTCCACTACTGCCCTGTCCCACTCCCAAGCCCGAGGGAGCCGGGAGAACCAGAGGCAGAGTTACACACCAGTAATGCCTCTCCCTGTCCTCTCACAGCATTTGCCTGGGGCTGTGTGCTGGAAAGTCAGGTTCAGCTCACCAGAGGCTCGCAGGGAGCTGAAAACAAGTGCCAGGGAGTCAAAAAACAAAGAAGGAATTCCTTTTTGTACCGGGAAGGAGGCATCTAAAAACACACCTGTCTTAGTTCTTTTTGTGTTCTTGTTAGAAAATACCTGTGGCTAGGTAGTGTATATAAACAGAAGTGTATTTGGTTTACAATTCTAGTGCTTGGGAAGTCCAAACAGCATGGTGCCACCGTCTGGCAAGGACTCCCTGGCTGTGCCACAACACAGTAGAGAAGCCAAAACGGGCCCATTCTCATGAAAAAGAAACCAAGCACACACAGCGGCCTCACTCCCAAGAGAACTAATCCAGTCCTGCAAAACCCACATTAATCCCTTCCAAAGCCAGTGCCCCATGACCCGCTTGCCTTCCGCGAGGGCCCTGTTCCTACAAAAGACGTACCACCTCGCAGTACAGTTACACTGGGGACCAAGCATCCCGCATACGAACTTCTGAGGGACAAACCATACCCAAACTGTGGCAACATACAAGCAAGCATGTACTTTATCACTGTACTTAAACTTTAAAATCTTACCCTAGCAGTCCACATCCACTGCAAAGCGCGTTCAAGGGCACATGGCTTACTGCAGCCCAGCGGGCCTGTGAGAGCCGCCCTCAGGGCAGCACCTCTGCTCACCTCACACTTCCTATTTCACAGGGCTAAAGGTGCTCCCATCTCAACCAGATCAGACTCACGCCAGCATGCTTCCCCTGCAACGAGCAGTCTCCTAAGGACTCTGAGAGGCAGAACGAGCACCTTTGCTAGGACCTAAAGTTCGCGTTCAGACAACCGCAGGAAGGTCGCCAGCTGAATCCAGGCTCCTGAGGCTCCAGCCTTGCTCTGAGGAGGTACGGGCCTTGCCCTCCAGTAAAGTTCTCTTAGAAGATACAAAGCTACAAATACAAGAGCTGCCCAGTGCAGGCTGGCGCCCACATTGCTGACCCTACATGCCTCAGCCTCCTGGTGCTCATGTGTTTTGCTGACTGTGTATTTCCCCACCCCTCTGTAAGGGATCATGAGACACTCCTGCTTCTCAATTCCAGCTTGGCTGGAAGAAGCCTAGGCCTGAAGAAGTTATGCAGGATCCCTTTTACCCCTTACAGCTCTGCCAATGCCTTGGTAAGAGCTGCCCCCTGCCCACTGCCCTTAGCGTGGATCCCATGTGGGCAGATGTGAGCCCAAACTGCATACCCAGCCAGGACTCAGCCAGGTTCAAGCAGCCCACAGCTGCAGTAGCGATCATAAATACCACCAGTACCACCCCTCCCCATTTTAGAGTACTTTTAAGCCACTGTGTTCTAGAGTATTTTTTATACAGCATTACTATGCCAACGGTTAACTGACACATAGTCTGAGGAGACTGCTCATAGGAAATATTATATGCCCTCTTCCCAGAAAAAATTGACTGAATTTCAATGTGTCCATTATTGTAAGAACTTTCAGGGGATTTATTTAGTTACTCCTCACAACAAACCTATGAAATAGACAAGACCTTCCTCCTTCTTTAAAAGTGAGGCCACAGAGACACAGGGAAGTACCTGGCCCACAGCTGAAAGGCGGCCAAGGCAGGATTCAAACCCTGGTCCCCTTGATCCAGAGTCCTTGCTCCTTCCTGTCTGCTATGATAAGTGGCCTGGCACTCCTCCTCGCCCACCCCACCTAAAATGTTTCCGTGTGTGCCCGTGCCCTCAGGGTACAATCCAAACCGACCAGCAAACTGCCACCGTGATAGTATAGTACTCAAGGCTCCGCACACCGGCTGCCTGCTTGCTCCGTCCTCCCACTCCCCACCCCCAGGGCTGCTACCACGCTGCTGCCTTTTCCCCGCCCCACCCTCCTCCTCCCTCTCCCTCCCCAGATTTGCTCCGCCCACGCCGAACCTACTCTTTACCAAACCTACCGGCTCCCTCACATCTTTGTGCCTGCAGCTGCCTCTGCCTCAGCCCTCAGAGCACCCGTGGTCCAGGAATACTCTCAGCCAAGGGCACAGGGCCACCCATCCTGCGTTTGCCCAGCCTCCAGGAACTTCCCCACAGAATGCTGAGCACTCTGGACTGTCCCTGTCTGCTCAGCCCTCTCCCGAGGGGAACCCCTTAGGGCAAGGCCTGGCTCCTACTCCTCTGCCAGCGGAGTGCCTAGCAGGGTCCCCAGTCTCATGACGGGAACCGAGTAAAAACTGGCTAAATTGAAAAGCAATGAAAAGGAACAATCACATGATGGAGAAATGGATACGGAGACAAGAGATTTAAATGTTCATTTTTAAATACCCGAGTCTTCATTTCTAGTAAACGTTAATTAAACTGCTCGGCACCCTTGGGTCTGCAGCTCTACACTCCTCAGTTAGAACAGCGCCTTCGTGATGGTTTTCTCTGCCCACCATTCATTCCCTTGCAGGGTTATGTGTTCAGCAGGGCACCTTTTGGCAGGTAACAAAGGCACCACGTCTGCTTGAAGCAGCTGTGGGAATCACAAGCCTCCTCCCTAAGCAGTCCCTCCTGGCCACACAAAGTCCATGTCCTGTGCTTCCAAAAGAGATGGAGGAAAGTTTGCTGCAGAGGAAGGCACATTATTAATGAGTGAAAGGAAGGAATCCCAAGTCAGGAAACAGGCCAATGAAGACTTGACATTGAGTAGAAAAAGCCCATTAACGGGAGAGAGCCCCTGACTGAGCGAGGCCTGGATCCCAGCAGCCAACGGCGGCTGACAGGTCGTCATTACTGCCTTAACCTCTGAGGCTCCCGTGGGAGGGTCGGGGCTCCAGGCCTGACAGCTCTGGCTGCAGAGGGCTGGGCAGGGCAGGGGACGGAGGCTCGGGTTGCCTTCAAACTCCCATATCTCCCAGGCTGCTTTCAATCTGGGACCACGGGAAAGTGAGGCCCAAGGAAAAATGCAGCGGGCTGTCCCCAGAGGGAGAAGCTGAAACCCTGTAACAGACTCCTTTCCCCAGTGTCAGCTTCCTAAACTAATACTCTGTTGCCCACCTGCCGTCACCTGAGGAAGAGGAGCAACCCCAGAATGAAGGGTGCCCGACCCCCTTCACGTGGACCTCGGACCAGGTGTCAAAGTCACAGACACTGGAGTGTGAGGGCCTCGGCCCAGGTGTCAGAGTCATAGACACTGGAGTGTGAGGGCCTCGGCCCAGGTGTCAGAGTCATAGACACTGGAGTGTGAGGGCCTCGGCCCAGGTGTCAGAGTCACAGACACTGGAGTGTGAGGGCCAGCAGAGAGCCTCGGGATTGGACCGCCTGGTAGTTTTACGTCATTCAAGCAGAAACAGAGGTGCAGAAAACTGAGGCTGCTCCCTTTTGGAAGTCGGAGCCAGGACCTCAGTGACTGGTACAAGCCAACGTCAGAGATGGCTTGGGGGAGACCTGGGCTCTGACACGGCTTGAGGGAGGCTTGTGGGTGTGGCCTGGAAGTCAGGTATTTAGTCCAAACCTGTATTTTGCAGACATGAAAACTACGTATGGCCGAGAAGGGTCGGATGAGTCATCCGCGGTCACACAGATGTAGGAGGGCCAAGAACAGGACCTGGGTTTCTGGCTCCCAGTCCCAGGGCTCTTCCCTCTGCTTCGTGTCGCCCCTGTTCTAGGAATGCCCTCCACACCCTTCCTTTCCTCCTTCCCCTTGAACAAGTCCCAGGGCAACTCTGAAGCTTAGAGTGCGGTGAACAATAGCTGGGTGACAGTGTGTCTGTGAAGCACTTACACACATAACAGAGACCACTCTGCTGAAACCACCGACCCCCCACTCCTGTCCCCACCCACACGGACTCCAGCATCCTCAGGTCATCACACTCAGAGTGACCCGGAACTTTCTCAGGATCCCTTCACGGTCCTTCTCTTCTGCTGCATTTCTTACAGCTCTAAAAGACACTGCCTGCGATGCTGTCCTTCAATCTGCTGGGCTCGTCCCAGCACGGTATTTGGGCTTGGTTCTCTAGTGCTGTTTACTCCTCTTTTTAATTTCATTTTAGAAGTCTACAATGAGAGAAGCCAACACTTAATCATAAGAACTAGAAGAGACTTCACAAACTGCTTACAAGGCACAAAGAGAGTAGTTACTTTTCTATTTCCCTTTCGGTGGAATTGGCTGCTGTACCGTGTGCAATAAACAAGATGAACCAGAAAGCATTCTGCAGCCTTATCTCACCCCCACCCACAATCAAAAGAAAAAATTCATTGTAATAAAAGAATGAGAAACTAGAACTTCAGATCTGTTGAAAAGTTAATTTAATTTGAAAGGTTTGTTGAGACCATTCGTTTTCTTTTGTAGCCTAAGACCAAAAGGTTTGCATTTCATTTTAGCAGCAGAATGATAAAAGAAACCTGATATAATTTTCATCATAATAATAAACACTGGGGCCGGGGATTTAGCTCAGTGGCACAGTGCCTGCCAGGCAAGCATGAGGTCCTGAGCTTGAGTCCTGGTGGGTACCCCCCTCCAACAACCTGTAAAAAAAATTGGTCCCATAATAATAAACACTATATAATAAAACTAGAATAAAGTATTTCCTTTTAAATAGAGAAGTAGAAATGGAGGTACATGTACTATATAATTCTGAATTGACTTATTTTTTAAAAACTACATAAGTTGTTTTAAGGTGTGACTTTCATATTTAATTGCTTTTGCTAATACTAGCTTCCTTCTTTACTGCAATGATGATTTAAGAGTAAGCACACACTTATGACTTAATACACAACTTAGCTAATCCTCTGAATTGACAAGTTTAAAATAGA